CTTGCTGGTGTACTGGTAGGAAAATGGACAAGACATAATGGACTGTAAAGGACAGTGGCGGCTCAGGTGAGAGACATTATCACGGGCCATCCACTTTGAACATGTGCCATTGGGAGGATGAACTGAAACACTATCTGAAGAAGAACATGAAGAAACAGCAGAAGGATGAGCGCCGGAAAGGGAGGGGGGTGGTCAACCTTGCCCGTAATTGATTTAGGCTTATCCAAAATTGTTTATTTGGGGTATCAGGTTGATTGGAATATCAATCATCCTGTTCGTTGACGCCAAATTGTCGTGGAAATTCTTACACTGGGACAATCGAAGTCAATCTTAAATAAATAATTGTTTATTATCAGCATGCTGAAGCGGTTCCAACTAACTCAACGCACCAAGTACACATGTCGATCAGGAACTCTACTGGGGCAGTCCCATTAGTTATCTTATATACAAACAAGTTATATTAGCATGATTTAGCTTATTCATCATTCATAATTAATTCATCATTAACATGTGACCGACCAATACTCAGTCATGCATTTGACAAACCAATACCTCACGAGGCTTCTTCTCTCTAAGCTGAGACCTTGAAACTGAGATTTCTCTTTCTCAAAACAAGGTTCTGGGCGTACTGCCAAATTGCAGATACTGATAGTGAGGATTCGTTCAATCAGTCACTTGCATCAACACAGAAATTGGTTATTAGAAAAGCACAAACTAAAAAATGTCCATCCTTCAAGGTCGCATGCACACTCACACTCCGCTCACACACACTTCTCCACCACTCCATATTCACAATCCCATGTAAGTAGATACAGAGGAGTACAAGGTCTCTCTTTGATTACAATAGTTGTGACTCCGACTCGTCTCCATTGCATGCGCTTTGGAATCCTTTTGTGCGCTTGGGAATGTTCAACCTTTAGATATTTTTTTTTAAACTTTTTTTTATACAGTATGTAGCCTAGTTTATAGTTCGTGGGTGATATGTCATCACAAATAGGCATACCTTTGAGTGGAGATTATACCCGTGTTAATATTTCAGAAGATCAAAGGAATGAATGTAGGCCAGTAAGTGTGTCTATTATAGGTTTATTGGTGGAGATTCCGTTAAGTTTGTCTTATTTATTTATTCCTTGGTAATATGTAATTTCAGCCTACCTGCATGATTAGTTATTCACACCACAGAAATATAATGTGTACATTTTTGTAGCCTAATAGCCTAATATACAGTGGGGGGAAAAAGTATTTAGTCAGCCACCAATTGTGCAAGTTCTCCCACTTAAAAAGATGAGAGAGGCCTGTAATTTTCATAATAGGTACACGTCAACTATGACAGACAAAATGAGGAAAGAAAATCCAGAAAATCACATTGTAGGATTTTTTATGAATTTATTTGCAAATGATGGTGGAAAATAAGTATTTGGTCAATAACAAAAGTTTCTCAATACTTTGTTATATACCCTTTGTTGGCAATGACACAGGTCAAACGTTTTCTGTAAGTCTTCACAAGGTTTTCACACACTGTTGCTGGTATTTTGGTCCATTCCTCCATGCAGATCTCCTCTAGAGCAGTGATGTTTTGGGGCTGTCGCTGGGCAACACGGACTTTCAACTCCCTCCAAAGATTTTCTATGGGGTTGAGATCTGGAGACTGGCTAGGCCACTCCAGGACCTTGAAATGCTTCTTACGAAGCCACTCCTTCGTTGCCCGGGCGGTGTGTTTGGGATCATTGTCATGCTGAAAGACCCAGCCACGTTTCATCTTCAATGCCCTTGCTGATGGAAGGAGGTTTTCACTCAAAATCTCACGATACATGGCCCCATTCATTCTTTCCTTTACACGGATCAGTCGTCCTGGTCCCTTTGCAGAAAAACAGCCCCAAAGCATGATGTTTCCACCCCCATGCTTCACAGTAGGTATGGTGTTCTTTGGATGCAACTCAGCATTCTTTGTCCTCCAAACACGACGAGTTGAGTTTTTACCAAAAAGTTCTATTTTGGTTTCATCTGACCATATGACATTCTCCCAATCCTCTTCGGGATCATCCAAATGCACTCTAGCAAACTTCAGACGGGCCTGGACATGTACTGGCTTAAGCAGGGGGACACGTCTGTCACTGCAGGATTTGAGTCCCTGGCGGCGTAGTGTGTTACTGATGGTAGGCTTTGTTACTTTGGTCCCAGCTCTCTGCAGGTCATTCACTAGGTCCCCCCGTGTGTTTCTGGGATTTTTGCTCACCGTTCTTGTGATCATTTTGACCCCACGGGGTGAGATCTTGCGTGGAGCCCCAGATCGAGGGAGATTATCAGTGGTCTTGTATGTCTTCCATTTCCTAATAATTGCTCCCATAGTTGATTTCTTCAAACCAAGCTGCTTACCTATTGCAGATTCATTCTTCCCAGCCTGGTGCAGGTCTACAATTTTGTTTCTGGTGTCCTTTGACAGCTCTTTGGTCTTGGCCATAGTGGAGTTTGGAGTGTGACTGTTTGAGGTTGTGGACAGGTGTCTTGTATACTGATAACAAGTTCAAACAGGTGCCATTAATACAGGTAACGAGTGGAGGACAGAGGAGCCTCTTAAAGAAGAAGTTACAGGTCTGTGAGAGCCAGAAATCTTGCTTGTTTGTAGGTGACCAAATACTTATTTTCCACCATAATTTGCAAATAAATTCATAAAAGATCCTACAATGTGATTTTCTGGATTTCTTTTCTCAATTTGTCTGTCATAGTTGACGTGTACCTATGATGAAAATTACAGGCCTCTCTCATCTTTTTAAGTGGGAGAACTTGCACAATTGGTGGCTGACTAAATACTTTTTTCCCCCACTGTATATCCATCCTGCCCTGCCATTCGAAAGTATTTGAAAGCCTAGTTAACAAACAGGTCACTGACCATTTCGAATCCCACCGTACCTTCTCCGCTATGCAATCTGGTTTTTGAGCAGGTCATGGGTGCACCTTAGCCACGCTCAAGGTCCTAAACGATATAATAACCGCGATCGATAAAAGACAGTACTGTGCAGCCGTCTTCATCGACCTGGCCAAGGCTTTTGACTCTGTCAATCACCGCATTCTTATTGGCAGACTAAATAGCCTTGGTTTCTCAAATGACTGCCTCGCCTGTTTCACCAACTACTTCTCAGATAGAGTTCAATGTGTCAAATCGGAGGGCCTGTTGTCTGGACCTCTGGCAGTCTCTATGGGGGTGCCACAGGGTTCAATTCTCGGGCCGACTCTATTCTTTGTGTATATCAATGATGTTGCTCTTGCTGCTGGTGACTCTCAGATCCACCTCTACGCAGACGACACCATTTTGTATACATGTGGCCCTTCATTGGACACTGTGTTAACAAACCTCCAAACGAGCTTCAATGCCATACAACACTCCTTCTGTGGCCTCCAACTGCTCTTAAACGCTAGTAAAACTAAATGCATGCTCTTCAATCGAACGCTGCTTGCACCCGCCCGCCCGACTAGAATCACTACTCTCGGCGGGTCTGACTTAGAATATGTGGACAACTACAAATACCTAGGTGTCTGGTTAGACCATAAACTCTCCTTCCAGACTCAAATTAAGCATCTCCAATCCAAAATTAAATCTAGAATCGGCTTCCTATTTCGCAACAAAGCCTCCTTCACTCATGCTGCTAAACATGCCCTCGTAAAACTGACTATCCTACCGATCCTTGACTTCGGCGATGTCATTTACAAAATAGCCTCCAAAACTCTACTCAGCAAATTGGATGTAGTCTATCACAGTGCCATCCGTTTTGTCACTAAAGCCCCATATACTACCCACCATTGTGACCTGTACGCTCTCGTTGGCTGGCCCTCACTACATATTCGTCGCCAAACCCACTGGCTCCAGGTCATCTATAAATCACTTCTAGGCAAATCCCCGCCTTATCTTAGATCATTGGTCACCATAGCAACACCCACCCGTAGTATGCGTTCCAGCAGGTATATCTCACTGGTCATCCCCAAAGACAACACCTCCATTGGCCACCATTCCTTCCAGTTCTCTGCTGCAAATGACTGGAACGAACTGCAAAAATCTCTGAAGCTGGAGACACTTATCTCCCTCACTAACTTTAAGCATCAGTTGTCAGAGCAGCTTACCGATCACTGCACCTGTACACAACCCATCTGTAATTAGCCCACCCAACTACCTCATCCCTATATTGTTATTGACATTGTTATTTATTTTGCTCATTTGCATCCCAGTATCTCTATTTGCACATCATCTTCTCTACATCTATCAATCCAGTGTTAATACTAAATTGTAATTATTTTGCACTTTGGCCTATTTATTGCCTTACCTCCATAACTTACTACATTTGCACACACTGTATATAGATTTTCTATTGTGTTATTGACTGTATGTTTTGTTTTTGTTTATTCCATATGTAACTCTGTGTTGTTGTTGTTTTTATCGCACTGCTTTGCTTTATCTTGGCCAGGTCGCAGTTGTAAATGAGAACTTGTTCTCAACTGGCTTACCTGGTTAAATAAAGGTGAAAAAAAGAATATATATATATATATATTTTAAAAATCCTCAGAATCAAAGGCATCACCTTTATAAACAGGGCAATGCAGGGCCACATTTGTTGTTTTAATTGGTGTAAAATAAACAAATATTTCTAAACTACCAGTGAGTAAAGCTGGAGGGCTCTCTCTCTCTCTCTTTGTGTCTCTGTCTCTCAATTCAATTCAATTCAATTCAAGGGGCTTTATTGGCATGGGAAACAAATGTTTGCATTGCCAAAGCAAGTGAAATGGATAAACAAAGGTGAAATAAACAGTAAATATTACACTCACAAGTTCCAAAATAATAGAGACATTTCAAATGTCATTATGTCTATATACAGTTTGGAACGATGTGCAAATAGTTAAAGTACAAAAGGGAATATAACTAAACATAAATATGGGTTGTATATACAATGGCCTTCAAGGGGATCTGGACACAGGAGTTCTGGCATTGCGTGGGGGTGGAGTTCCTAGCCATGATAGTCTTTGTCCTCCTCAGACTGGGTTCCAACATCAACTGGGTGGCGGAGGAGGAGCACCCACCTCACCCTGACCTAGTCCTCATCTCCCTCTGCTTCGGACTCAGCATCGCCACCCTGGTCAAGTGTTTCGGACACATCAGTGGAGCCCATATTAACCCTGCGGTGACCGCAGCCATGGTGGTGACCCGGAGACTCAGCCTGGCCAAGGCAGTGTTTTACCTCCTGGCCCAGCGTCTGGGGGCAGTGGTGGGTGCAGCTGTGCTCTACGGGATGGGCATCACATCGGTAAGAAGGAGGGGAGACTGAATCTGAACTTTAACCTTGATTAGTTGTCATGTTAATTGTCATCATCATTGAAGAGGAACTAAAGTTTAAGTTGGTATGGGTAGTCGTTGTCTGAGTCTAAAATGGCACACTATTCCCTACATAGTGCACTACTTTTAATCAGAGCCCTATGGGCCCTTGTCAAAAGTAGGCCCGGAATAATACCAGTATCACAATACTCGTTAGTATCGTGGCAAGGAAACAAAACACAAAGTGGATTTAATTTCTTTAGGAAAACAGCCCTAATGTTGGAAACAAACATAATTGTGTTGTCATCCAGAGTCACATGTATTTATTTCCCCAGCTATAGCACACTATATTTTACATACAGCATGTTTTTAAAGGACCAAAGAGTTTAGTCTGCTTCGTGTTTTCATTTTTGCCATGGAAAAAATATTGCGATACTGGTATCGTCCCAGCTCTAGTCAAAAGTAGTGCACTATATAGGGAATGGGGTGGCATTTGGGACTTAGCCCTTGTCCTCAAGTCTAGTACATGTGCCTTACATCCTGTCCTGTTGGCTAACCAAGGTCATGTGACTCCCCAAGTGAACACCAGTATCTGGGCCATGCCCTGGTGGTAGAACTCTTCCTCCCCTTCAAACTCGTCTTCACTGTGTTCGCCACCTGACCCCAAATGCAGCGACGAGAAGGGCTCAGCTGCCCTGGCAATCGGCTTCTCTGTCTGCATCGGACACCTGTTCGCTATGAGTAGTACCTCAGATAGCCAACAGAGTTTGCCACTCTTCATCAGTCAACAAGGAACAAAAACCCTAACCCTAGCACTAACTCTAGACCCTAAACCTAGCCCTAGCACTAACTCTAGCCCCTAAACCTAGCCCTAGCACTAACTCTAGCCCCTTACCTTAGCCCTAGCACTAACTCTAGCCCCTAAACCTAGCCCTAGCACTAACTCTAGACCCTAAACCTAGCCCTAGCCCTACACTACCATAAGTCCTCTGGTTGGAATGTCCCAATTAGTATATGTGTGTAATATCTCTACTCTGTTTAGCTCCCCTACACTGATGCCAGTATGAACCCTGCTCAATCATTCGGACCTGCCATGGTCACCTGGAGCTGGGAGAACCACTGGGTAAGAGAGAACAAATGAAACACAATGCACAGAACCACATACAACCATATACAACCATACGCAACCACACACAACCACATGAAATCACTCAAACCCAACCACACACATCCTCTCTCACAACTTCACTCAACCACACAGAGGCACAGGCATACAACTACAAAAACAATGACGCAATGCACAACCACACAAAAGCTGTATATACTGCACACATTACCCTATGTGTTTACACACGCAAATAGAGAGCTCAAGCAGATCATTTAGTGGTTTCAAGCCAACCTAAACATTCTCAGCCAATAAGAATTTCTCCTTTGAGGGCCATTCTGTTGGCTAACCACGACTATTGAATAAGTGTCTGCTAAATGGTTGGCACACTATACTCCATTCCTGCCTGAGTGTCTGTAAGATACAGAGGGGTCTCCTACTGAATGAAGCAGGGGCTCAGGTTTAAATCATTCCTGGTGTACACTAGAGTATAATTAGTAACTAATCAGCTGAACACACACGCATGCACACACACATACACACACTCACACACACACACACACACTCTGGTACACTGTGAAGGTAAGACATATGTCAGATCTTGGCAAAATGTGCTGTCATCATTAGCACCAACAGGGTTTCCTTGCAGGGGCTGAAACATTAGAAAGGTCATGACCCTACGACATTATTTTAGCCAGAGTAGACAAATTCAACATATCAGAGACCAAACTCGGATACATACTCACCGCACATAAACAGACACATGTACACACTCCTAGACACACACTCCCTGACACTGAGACATAAACATACACAGAGAGATCAGAGCTAGTGCATCCTATCTCACATCCTTACCAGTAATTGATGGGCTGGCAATTGATGAGCCTTCTGGTCAGGGTTAGAAACATTCTGCCTCTCCTTCTCTTTAACAGCCTGAGCAGTTACAAATAAAATGATTTAGTTGAACTTTGATTACTGGCATCACTCCTGTGCCAAATCTGCTTTGAGCACTGCACTAACATTACTGTACTAACATTAGACCAATATCTGACATATACAAAGTCTCACACAGTACTCTGTGTTTGTTGGGCTGGTATGTGACTGAAACCACCCCGGTCAGAGGGGAATAAGGCAGCCCAAGAGTTAACACACACAGGGAACTGTATTACACACACTGATGAAGATGAACATGTAGATGGTTTTTGTAGTCACACATCCCATGCACGTCCACCCATGCTCACAGACTGGAATAACACCATTCAGGCTCGTGCTGGAGTCATACCCTTACTAGAGCGAGCCACGGACCTGTCCGGCCAGTGCAATGCTAGGATCATCTGGCCAATCAAAGGATGCATGACGAGTCCATGGGCAGATTGTGAGGTGCATGGGGAGAGTCTGATTGGCTGAGGCCTCGAGCTGGAGGTGATAGCGATCTCTCACATGAAGCGGAGAAAGCGTGAGGATGGGTGAGAGCTAGACTCTTTGGTGCTGTCTGGACAAATAAACAACACAGGCTGGAAAATAGTCCTACAACGCCCTCAGCAGGGGTATTCTGGAACAAGTTCAGAAACCTTAAAGGCCAGACAGTATGAAGATTTCGTACAGACTTAATAGAGACTCACACACACACATCACACACACAACCATGCTATCACACTGACACACCCATAGACACACACAGACATTGGTGGAAAAAGGACTCAATTGTCATAATTGAGTAAAAGTAAAGATACCTTAATTGAAAATGACTCAAGTAAAAGTGAAAGTCACCCAGTAAAATACTACTTGAGTAAAAGTCTAAAAGTATTTGGTTTTAAATATACTTAAGTATCAAAAGTAAATGTAATTGCTAAAATATACTTAAGGATCAAAGTACAAGTAAAAGTATAAATAATTTCTTATTCCTTATATTAAGCCAACCAGACGACACAATTCTCTTGTTTTTATTTATATTTATCAATGGCCAGGGGCAAACTCCAACACTCAGACATCAATTACAAATAAAGAATTTGTGTTTAGTGAGTCTGCCGTATCAGAGGCAGTAGGGATGACCAGAGATGTTCTCTTGATAAGTGTGTGAATTGGACCATTTTCCTGTGCTGCTAAGCAATGAAAATGTAACGAGTACTTTTGGATGTCAGGGAAAATGTATGGGGTAAAAAGTACATCATTTTCTTTAGGAATGTAGTGAAGTAAAAGTAAAAGTTGTCAAAAATATAAATAGTAAAGTAAAGTACAGATACCCAAAAAAACTACTTACGTAGTACTTTAAAGTATTTTTACTTAAGTACTGTACACCACTGCACACACAGTTATCTACATTATACTAACCCTTCTCTCTCTGTCTCATCTCAGGTGTACTGGGTAGACCCGGGGCTGGGTGGTGTGATAGCTTCAGCTCTGTATGAGTACCTGTTCTGTCCCGACCCTGAGCTGAAGAGACGGTCTGCCGAGGTGCTCTCCAAGACCGGCTTCCCCTCAACTAAATACCGCGAGGTCCAGAGTAGCTTCACCGCAGACCGTGACCAACTGGTCAATGAACTCCCCTTCACCGTTATGGATGTAGATAGAGCCGAACGAAAGGAGAGAGAGATGGAGTGGGAGAGAGGGACGTCGGGAGGTGTTCTCGTCTGTATGACTAGTGAGGTGCACTGGTAGAGAAGACCAGACCACTGCAGAGACTGACCTCTTACAGACTGACCTCTTATAGCGACTGTCTCTTATAGAGACTGACCTCTTACAGACTGACCTCTTACAGACTGACCTCTTAAAGACTGCCCTCTTAAAGACTGACCTCTTGTAGAGACTGACCTCTTATAGAGACTGACCTCTTATAGAGACCTACTTCTTATAGACTGACTTACAGACTGACCAAGACCGACCTAGAGACATACTCTTATAACTGACTTGACCTCTTACAGAGACTAACCTAATATGTAAACTGACAGTCAAAGACTGTAGGATGACTATAGACCTATAGACACTTGCCTTCTGTAGAGAAACAGGCAGACTTACTTAAGAGGCACATACAGTATATTGTCTAGACAATTGCATACAGTACAGTGAGCTCCAAAAGTATTGGGACAAATTCACTTATATAAAGTTTAGCATTTGGTCCCATATTCCTAGTCACAATAAAAGTGACTCCAAAGTGACACAATACATTATTTACCATTAATTTCTATTGGGCACAAAATAATCTGAAACACAACCAAAACAAACAGCAAATGCATCCAACAAGTTTGTAGAGTCACACGCTTGATGTAATCATTGTGTGCTAGGAATATGGGACAAAATACTAAACTTTATACTTTCGGTCCCCTAAAATGAGGGGACTATGTATAAAAAGTGCTGTAATTTCTAAACGGTTCACCCGATATGGATGAAAATACCCTTAAATTAAAGCTGACAGTCTGCACTTTTAGCTCATAGTCATTGTATCATTTCAAATCCAAGGTGCTGGAGAAACGTGTGTCATTGTCACAATACTTTTGGAGCTCACTGTAGAAACAGACACAGACCTAAGACTCACAGCACCAGTCCTTCTTTCAGTCCACGTGGTGAAATCTCCACCCTCTCTGCTGGGTGCTTCTCTCTTTCTCTACGTATTCTTATTAGCCTGAACGATTGTCCAATAGATAACAGATATTCATATTGATTTACTAACTTCATATATAATATGTGGATAATAAGATGTGACAGGGATGTGACAGGGTGGCTTGGAGAGATGTATTCTACTTTTATACGACTGTATTTATTTAAACTGTTTTACTGTCTCCCTTCCTTTAGATGATTGCTTTTGTTGATACGTCCTCCCCTCCTATCCCTCTCTCAAAACATATTTAATCACACACACAAACAAACACACACACACACACACACACACTGATCTTGCTCTGTTTTAAGTGAATACTATGATTGATAAAATGATTGTATGAAGAGCACATAATGATTATTGCTCAGCCAGAACGATGAAGCTGTTTCATGCTGTTTTTCTACTGTTAATATTGTTGTAATAGATAAGACCTCATGTTGGACATGTCTCTTGAATTTTATACAGTTGTCTTTCCACTGAGCTGTGCTGCAGTATACTGAGGTACCTCATCACTAATAAAGTGAACTGGCCGAAGCATTGGTTGATTTGTTGATTAATTGATTAAATGATTGATTGGTTGGTTTAGTAACAGGATTTATAATCTAGAGTATGCTTTCCCTAACCTACTGCTATCAGATACAGTGTTTTCCTAAACAAATCCCCTGCGTGTTTGAGGCTCCTAAGTGGAACTGAAATTTGATCAGTCTAACAACAGAGGGCACCAAAGACCTCGGGAAAGGCTTGACAGGCTTTCAAGTTTTAGGGAAAGCACAAGCATGCACATGCGATGTGCATGCATGAGTGTTTATGTGTGTGTGTGAGCACATGTGTTGTGCGTGCATTTATGTGTGTGTACAGTAGGCCATTCCCAGGACAGTGCTTAGTAAACTGTTATGTTGGTACAGTGGAGTCCCTCTCTCTTCACAGAGCTTTGTGTTCTATCCTGTGGCTATTTATTACAATTTTAAATATAATTGCTCCATTTAAACTAATTGGAGGGAGAAAAAACACAATTATTCTCATTCAAAGACACAGACATACTGTAGTTGTCCATAAATACCACAAGGACATAGAGACAGGGACACAGAAAGGGCTAGCTATGTCAATACCTTGTTCTGTTGCTGGAAATTCTGGCAATGAGGGAGATGTTTTGCCTCTGAATGTGAAGGAAATCACACAGCCTCATTGTACAGTGAATGGGAGGATTCAGATGACAAGCCTGAATGAGAATAAAACAGGGCATGCGGATTACACATAGCCATGAGCTCCCCTTGTTCTGATGAATCTACCTCCACTGAGGAAGATTAAATATGAAGTCTTACAGATGTCTGACTGACTGACTGGTGTTTAATATTAACCATTGTGGTGGAATACCACAGGAGACCAATCAAACGAGACATGCCTGAAGGGGCGCCCAGCCTGCCTACCGTCTCCCTGTCTGTGGCTTCTCATCATCAGCAGATCAGATCACCAAAACACTGCAATACTATCACAAAGTCACCACAATCATTGAGATATCCTCAAAGTTGACACAATCATACTCATCAGTGTGCTGGTAGTTAGGGACCATATTCTCCCCTCAGTGGTAACAGGGAGCAAATTAGCCACAGGTGGTGCACCATTGTCAGGACAGTAACCACTATAGGGCTGAGTGACCAAGGTGAGGATGCTAATTCACTCAGAGAACTGTTACCACACAACTGTAAGAAAACAACCCAGTCAAAATAGAGTTGCTGATACTACCTCATTATTTCTCTCTCCCCCAGTCTCTCTAGCTCTTTGACTTCCTCTCCATTCTCTCTCCCTCCACTTTCCCATGTCTGTTGTTCACTCTTCCTTTACATCTCTATGAGCCCAAGTAGACTCAGTTGAATTGCCAGCCCAGATTCAGGAGGAGAAAATTAATTAATGGTGGCTTATGGGCATGGTGTCACTATTGTGTTCTAAGCCCTTTGATCAGCACCTACTGTGGATGTATGTGCTGCATGACTTATTGGGCTGCATTAAAACTGAAACATTTACCTGACTGAGAAAGAGCAAGAAAGAGAGAGCGAGAGATAAATAGTTTTTATGGAAATAAAAAACATACACAATAATGAAATTAGACATGTAGACACACTTTATCCATTCCTTCCTGAATAGTCAACACAGTCTGACTCCTATCTCTTCCTCTTAATTGAGATTCACACTGTTGATTGATCCATTGGTCCAGACAGTGTCCAAGAGGTGTACTTTCTCTAATGTATAGTAGGATACACATTTGATTTCGATAGATAGTGGCAGTTGACACAAGCTACAGTTTATATAACCACCATCATCTGCTGTTTCCCTGCCTGGCACACAGCAGTAGCTCTCCATCCATTAGAAGAAAAGTGCCCGCGGAGGGTCTCCATCAAAACTAATCATCACGATTAACATCAGTGTCTCCTGCCGCGAGGAGAGTAGCGCAGGCGAGCTAAAGGCGGGAGTGCGAGAGAGCCACGACTCTATGGCGGGGAGGCTTTCCAAACAAACCAGCTATATAATATTATTATTATTGTATAGAGTTGATAATTATAAAAGCTATAAACGGAATCCAGTATAATATTGATTTGATATTATATCAGGAATACGCTAATTGTCTCCTGATCTTAGCCTGAGGGGCTAGCGAAGCCTTGGAGCGACTGTTCTCTCTTCCCTCCCTCGCCAGGCTAATGCATTTCTCTCTAGCGTGCCGGGGAAGCAGCATATCGTCATTATTCAGAGAGGAAAGCCGAGGATTGATGTCGGATGTTTCAGGTAAGAACTGTCTGAAATTGGGTTCGTTTTTAATTTCCTCGTAAAGATTGTGAAGGTGGTTGGTGCAACATATATAGGCGAGGGGAACAGCACTGTTTTACGCATGGGCTAGGATACTGGACAAGCCTACAGTTTGCTGCTAAAATGATTCATCACTTGTGGTGAGGACATTCTGATCTCTGTTAGTCTTGTAAGTTGTCGCTGTCCATGGTCCTGAACATGTAGAGGGCGCTGATTGCTTGTTAGGAGTTGCTGACCAGGGCAGGGCTGAATGGACAGCTCCCAGGTGTTTGCCATGGAGGAATGCCGTCTCAAGGTGATACACCTTATTCAATTATAAAGTTAAATATGGAAATAGATTAATGACAATATTATGTTGTTATACTGCAGTTGTATTGTTCCCAGTAAGCATCTCATCATACTTACATGTTTCATTTTTACCCACACTCTGGGACACTGTGTGTGTGTGTGTGTGTGTGTGTGTGTGTGTGTGTGTGTGTGTGTGTGTGTGTGTGTGTGTGTGTGTGTGTGTGTGCTGTTGTGCTTACTTGTGTGCATGCATGTGTGCGTGTGTGTACGCTTGCGTGCGTGTGTAGATAGTGGAGCAGACACTGTGTACTGTATAGGATGTGCAGTCAGCCCTAAGCCATCCAGTTGTTTGGCATGTCATTAATAATGGATCCTAGAACTCATTAAAGCTGAAGTGACAGCTTGCTATTTACCCGGCTGGCAGGGAGAGAAATATGGTTATAGATGCACATTCAAAAGGCATGTCTGTACTCCTGCTGTTTATACCTTTTCAGGATAATGAAATGTTTCAGGAAGATAACATACCAAATATATGATCAGAAAGTATATATGAGTTTGATGGAGAGTAGGTAAGACATTAAAGACATGCTCTGGAACTTTGGCGACTACTGAGTGTTTTTTAAACCTTCTGCTTTGGGCTGGATGTGTCAATGTGTAGTTCATACATGCATAATCTATGAGCGAAATTACAGTCTTACATCAATTAGCCACGAAATCCCTAGTTTGAAAGCAACTGTTTTTCTTGAAGCTGTGCTGCGCTATTTTCCCTACATATTTTAAGTTGGTAGAGCATGGCGTTTGCAACGCCAGGGTTGTGGGTTCGATTCCCACGGGGGGCAGTATGAAAAAAAAATATATATCAGCAGTAATCCTTCTACCCCCCCTTACCCCAACCCCCCCCCCCCCCCCAAAAAAAAACCTTTGTAAAGTGTTTATCCCACTGGCTATAAGGTGAATGCACCAATTTGTAAGTCGC